TGTCTCAAAAAGTTTTATACAAATGGGAAAAAAGTGTATCTTACATTTCACAAAAAAATTATTCTTCATGAAAATCTCTGCATGTTCTAAAATCTAAAATACAACCATCAAACATTAACATTTTTTTCAGTCGTATACGAGGTATGATAGGTAGGTATGGAGTAAAGTATCTTTATTTTTGAAAATGTCAAAAAAAATTCTTAGAAAAGTTGTTTAGAATTATATTTTATTTTTATTTAAACAAATTAAAAAAAACTGAATTTAGATATATACAATTTTACATGTATGTGATAATAAATATTTTCAACTTACATATTTAAAAAAAAAATAATTACTTTACTCTTGCTCAAAATTCACATTTTTGGACCAACCAAGTATACGACTAATAAAGTTTAATATCTAATGGTTGTATCATGCAGAGATGGTTATAAAGAATATTTTTTTGTGAAATGTAAGATAAACTTTTATCCATTTATAAATCTTTTTGGGACACACTGCATAAAAAAAGAATAAAATAATTGAATTATTTTTACGTTTTAAAGGTACCTGAGTCCGAAAAACATGTTCATTGGTGTACGTTAGAATCTAATAGTTGAAATAGTTTTTTCTTTATAATAAAATTATATACAAAATAAAAAGGCTTTGAGGAAAAGTACCATGTGTGCTAACAAAATATTTTTTCTTATAGGTATAGAAAAATACTTCAACTTGACCTATCAAAAGAATATCGAAATCCTGTCTCTGGGATAGGAAAATGGTTACACCATATATTTGGACTTACATTTTTGCATCCAGATGAAGTAGAAGATGCATTTGCTTTTGATTTTGCAGAAGATATGCCTCAAAATGAAAAAGTGGTTCAATTCGCGGACTATTTAACGGATAATTATATAAGTCAAGACTCAAGTTTTCCTCTTAATATTCTGGCAAAATGTTCTGCAGACAGTACTAGAACTACGAACTGTTGTGAAAGCTTTCTTTCGAAATTTAAAAATTATTGTGTGGCTTATCTTCCAAATATACACGTGTTTCTTGAGGCGTTGAAAAGAATCCAAACATATACTTATATTAAAATAAATGGTAGCAATAAAAAAGAAAAACTTTTAATCAAAGAAGACGTTCTAAAAAGTCAAAATTTCATTACTGCCAAAATTTCACAATATCTGTGCAAAGATATTAACCGCTATGATTTTTTAAAATGTGTGGCATATAAATTTAGTGTACACTGAGAGAATTATATTTAAGTTTTTTATTGATAAATTTCTTGCTACCACAAATAAATTTTCAGCTACAATTAAAAAAATACATTCATGCAACTAAATAAAATGCTTTTTTAAAGTAGTTTTGTCGCCATACAAAAAAAAATTTGTTACCTTTGCAAATATTTTTGTTCAGTCTGTAGAACCAGCAAAAATAATGTTTGCTCTTAAAAATAGTTTTTAATTACTAAACATTTATTTTCTGTAGTAGAAATTCAAAATATTAATACGTATATTTTCCATCATAACAATTCGCTTTTTAAGTCCAATAAAAAATATCTTTAGAAAATAACGATTGTTTTCGATCGAGAGCTTTTTCGTCTATGCTCGAGAAAATTTTCGTGTATTTGGCGTACTCCGTTCCCGGTATATCGACAGGCACAGACAAGAACAAGTGATTGATTTGTGATTTTAGTTATAATTACCCTAGCCGCCAGCAAAGGTCATCCACGTTACGTTGGCAAATCGTAGGTCTGACGCCATTTTTGCAATAATTGTGCATAAGTTGTGTTCGATTTCTAATGGATTACACAGAGAAGCTGACTGACTAATTTGGGACTTCAAGATTTTGTTGAAAATTTTAAGGGTAAGTAAATAACATATAATATAAAAGTATTTTATATCTACTAATTTATCGGTTTCAAATGTATTGACCCCTCACTTTAACGTTAAGGAAAAAACAGTAGATAAAGCGAAAAATCTTGAAAAGTGTTTACATTAAGATATCAGAAATTCCTTTTTCCTTTTTGATGGAACTTGGAGACTATTTTGAGTACTGAGGGTTAAATGTTTAAGATTAAAATTATTTGTTCCAGTGTACGTTAACAGATATTTCTAACAAAACACATGTATGGCAGTATTTTTTGATATTTTTATTAAATTAAGAAATAGAAAACAAAAATGTTTTGTAATTATTTTTTTTGTACCACTTTTTGGCAAATTAAACATGCACATTTGTATAGCGTTTAGGTATAAATGAAATAACCTAGAATAAGAAATAAGAATTAGTAGGAAAGATGGCAAACTTTTATCTTTTTAGGTATACCTTATTTTATTTAATTTTGTTTGGAAATTGATAATGCGCATGCCCCAAATGTTTTCTGTTTTAAATGTTCCAGCTTAAGTTTTTTTTAATGAATTTTGACAGTTTTACAAAGGATTCGGGAGAGTCATTTTTTGCAACAATTAAAAATGCCTGTTCAAGGTAACAAAATACTCTTTAACTGCAAGAAAAATACTGTTTAACCACTAAAAACCTACTTTTGAACCATAAAAAACTACTTTTTAGTGAGTAAAATTTTACTTTCTAACCACTAAAATTAATAAAAACTAAAAAGTACATGTTTAGGGACTGAAAAGTAAGTTTTTTTAATGAATTTTGACAGTTTTATAAAGGATTCGGGAGACTGATTAATTTTTTGTTGCATTTAACAGTATAACCTTAGCTTTTACTTACCTTAAAAACCTAAATTTAAACATGTCTCAAAAATACCTGACATTAATTTTTATCTAAATTCTTAACTTACTGAGCTAGGGGAGGGGGTTTCTAGGATACACGACTGGTGCTTAAGTTTATTAAAATTCGAAATTTGCGTTTCTGAGATAGTATTAATAAAATAGAATTTTTTTTCCAGATATTAAGGAAGGATCGTTTGGAATGGCCCACCTGGTAGAAGAAGAATGTTATGTTTTTATGTTCCTACCTATTTTAGTTAATAATCCTAATGGCATGGATTTTCGTATTCTATTCTATATTATAATAAACAGAAAACAATATATTTAGAATAAAATTTCTTTTAGGATTTTTCACAAAGAATAAATACCGGATTAATTTAAAGCTACTAACTGCTCATTTGGAATTTCTTGATACATATGCCTTACGTTATTATACGTCTAAAGACAAATAAGTTTAAATTATCAAATAACAATTTTATATTACGTAACTTATTGAATTATTAAAATTCAAATACATTTTTGAAATATTTAGCAATTCAACTAATATATTTATTACAAAATAATCATCTCTTTTATTTTTGAAACACTTCCTTTCCTATGTTGATCTGTATTTCCACCACAGGGTAAATAAAAATTTATGTAAATTAAATAGGTAGGTATATATTGGGTAAATGTTGGTCTAATAATTATATATAGTTTTTATTGCACGGCTAAAAACTTATTTTTTCTATTTTTACAGAACTGGTTTCATTATGAACAAATATAAAGTTCAGTTATCCTCGGTAAATCTGGAAATTTGACATTCAATACATGCAAAACATTCTTATATTTCGACTTTAACTGAACTTTATTTTTTTATAGAAATAACGGCCTAAGAGCTGAAGAAACAAGCCCTAAATAGCAAAATTTACTTTTAACCATCAACAAATACTTTTTAAAGGTAAAAATTAACTGTATAATCATTAAAATCTACTTTTTAAAGGTAAAAGGTTACTTTTAAACCACTACACACTACTTTTTAACCACTAAAAACAATGTTTTAAAGGTAAAAATTAATTTTTTATCAATTAAAACTACCTTTTAAAGGTAAAAAAAATATTTTTTTATTGCAAAGAAAGTAATTTCTTAATCAGTACCTAATTTTTAACCAATAAAAACTACTTTTAATTAATAAAAACTATTTTTTAACCACTAAAAGCCTAATTTTTAACCAGTAAAATCAATTTTTAAGAGATAAAAAATAATTCTTTAACAATTAAAACTGCCTGTTCAAGGTAAAAAAATACTTTTTAACTGCAAGAAAAATACTGTTTAACCACTAAAAACCTACTTTTTAACAATAAAAAACTGCTTTTTAGTGAGTAAAATTTTACTTTCTAACCACTAAAATTAATAAAAACTAAAAAGTAAGTTTTTAGGGACTAAAAAGTAATTCCAAAAAAGTGAATTTATTAACCGTAGGACGGTACTTTGGCTGTCGCCTATTTTAATAGAGTTTTTTTAAGGGTTAATACATTTTTTGCTACCATAGCAAAAAAATTCTCTCGGTGACATACAATTAAATAAATATGATGAAACTTTAAATTATATAGTTTTAATTGTTACTAACTACTAACGGGAATTCGAGTTAAGGATTGAGGATAAATTTGAATCCTGACGGGAACTCATGTGCAGTACTAAGAGACAAAAGTTGAAACGCAGGTAAAAGGTTTTATGCTGACGGGAACTCGTGTCGCCCAAGTACACCTTTTCGTTTGTATAAAATAGTTAAAGTATTATACAAATTATTTAATGCATTATTGACACTGGTTTCTACATTCCTAATACTTTCATTTAAAAAAATTAAAATTTGGCTTTTTAAAGTTATATGACAATTTTTTGTTTTCATCAATCTCAGAGTTACCTGATATCTGACTTAAATTAATGAAAATTTCCAATCAATGATAATATAGGCATATTTTTAATAAAATTAAACCAGGGGTGCAAATTACACCTACACTCCTAGAAGAGGAGAAATGCAGATATACTTTAAAATCATATTCGCCAAGACCGCAGGACAGGTTTATGTCCTCTTTCTCTTTCTTCTTACGTTTAAAAGTGTTTCGTAAGACAAAGAGAATTGTTAGAAAGAGTAATTATTCATGATCCTGCGAGATGGGTGAGTATAGAAATGAAAGCGGTTCTTCAATTTCTTTCAGTGCCAATGCTAAATGAGCGAGAGCAAGGTCGATACGAGTGCCAAATGAAATAAGTTTATTTTTCGACGAGTGTATTTCGAGTGACATTATGGAATTTACAACGGTAAGTTTTGGAAATTAAGCGATTTTTAAAATACCATTGAAATGAGGTTTTAAAATTGTATTAGATGACTTTTTATTTCAATATAATTTTTCTTATGAGCACATTAATAATAATAAAGAACTCTAGAATTTATTTTTAAAAGATTCTGTCAATTTGAAATTCATATTATTTTGTTTCTGGTTGAAATTATTTTTAAAAATCAGTTATGCATATTTTAGCTCGTTACATGTGAGCCATTGTGGTCAATTTTGGATACTCTGGATTTATTGTTTTACCACTGTTTCATTACCAGAATCATTATTTTAAAAATTTTAGTTTCTATTTATCTTTCGATTATTATTTTAAAAAATAAGCATAATATATCTCATATTATATTTAACTATCTAATTTAATTGTATTCGTGCCACAATAGTACGTGTTTGTCACAAAACCTTGTTCAACAACGTTTAATTGATATAATTATTCTGTGCACTGCCTTTGAATTAATGGAGAACAATGATTTAATGTAGTAAACAAATAAAATTATTTTTTAATTATGAAAAATATTCTAATTTTTTTTTATTAACAATGGGATCACCGTTAACTGTAGATACTACGAAATAAATAATGATGATTGACCTAAACATGCCTTATCCAAATGTTCATGGTTTAGGAAACACAGTTATAATTTTATTTGCTTTTTTTACTATTATTATCGTGTTTCTTGGAATATCGACTTAAAAATTGGTATCTTAAAGGGTTCTTAGTAAAATAAATCGGTTTTAAAATCTGAAAGAGCCATTTTTATATTAAACATGTATTCTTGTTCCATTTCGATAATTTAATTCGTTTTCAAGAAGAAAAAAAAACGATTTAATGCAGATTATGTTTTAATCCTAGAAAGAAAACGCTTGTAAGGTATTGTTAAGAAAAATTATTATTATCTAGAAAGATTACAAGAAAAACTAAGAAATATGAACCTATAGAGCAGTTATTCGTAGTGTGCACCATTCACTTCGATACATTTTGTAAGGGCTGCCAGAATTAAAATGACAAATCGTACTGAAACATTTTTAAAAAACGTACTGAATAACCAACTTTAAAAAAAGCTACATTTTATGAATAACACCTTAAAAATGACTGGAGCTTTAAATTCATTAACTATTAAATAAGTTTTATAGAACATTTTTAAAAATATACAAAAAATTTACCCTATAGAAACGAAGATAAAAACAAATGGGCACATATGAAAAATATTGTGAAAGTGAAATAAAAATAATTTTCATGTGATTTTACACTTAATAAAATATATATTATTTAGGTATAACAAAAAAACGTCTTAACCATTTTACTTTCCAAATTACAGCTAATAAACGTACAATAAAATTCAATTTCAAATAAATTATTTGACTCATCATATTATGTCTTAACTATCAACTGTATTCGAAAAATATTTAAATAGCACTGTATTGACTATTTTGTTGATAAAATATGTCACTTTATTCGAAAAATGTTCAAATAGTACTGAAAATGGTACTGCATTGACTATTTTTAACAAAAACGTACTAAAACTAACAACGTAACACTGACGTACTGAAAAAAATTGAAAAAATACTAAATTTAGAACAAACATACTAAATTTGGCAGCCATGAATCCGTTTTCTAAGAGACAGACGAGTTTTAAACAATGCTGCTTGATTGCCTTTGATTTCATTGACAGCCGCTTGTATTCTACGCCACAACTCCTCGGGCGAATCAACAGTTTCTATATAGACTATGTCTTTCATCCGTGCCCAAAATTTTGTTGAAGAAAATTCAAATACAGTAGACCAGTTAGAGAGGGTGGGAGTTGAAAAGGTCCAACAAAATAATTTAAAATGACACCGCACCAAACAGTGGCGGCTCGTGAGCAAAAAATTGTTGAGGGTTCATAATGACAAATATAGATCTCAGTACAGATTTAGATAAAAAAACTTTCAGTTTTTATAATACATCTTTCCAAAACACAGCTTTTTACCTAAATCTGTACTGAGACCTATATTCTCTCATTGTGAACCCACAATTTTTTGGCCACGAACCGCCACTGGCACCAAACATTAACTTTAAATTCTTGCTGGAAATGTCTCCCATAAATGGTTGAAAAACTCCACGGCGTGCAAACGTTGCCTCATCAACAGGATATTATTTAAAAAATTAAGTAACATATTTTCTGCTCTTCCAAGAAGTAGCTGTACCGTAGGCGAGCAGGAGGATCTTGCAGCAACAAATTCTGCACTGAAGTATAGTGATACGGATGGAGCTTCTCTTTATTTAAAATTCTCCAAATTGATGGGTAACTTATGCCAATTTCGCACTTAAACGACGAGTACTTACATCTGGATACACTCTAACCCTCTAACCAAAACCTCCTCTCCCTGATCAACCGATATAGTTCTTGAAGCGCTATTTTCACTTTTGGGATTTAAAGTTCCTTTTTCACCTAACTTATAAATGGGTTGCCTGCGGAGGGGATATAACTAAAAATACCTTCGTGCACCAGCGCGACCTTCAAAATTTTTCTGATCAAAAACGCAAACCATATCACTCATCCCATTACTAGAAACTTCATTATGACGTGGCATTTCTTGTGCTTCCAGAATAAATCTAAAGAAGCTAAATACTTAAAGGAAACTATGCCATATTAATTTGTATCTATGAAAAGCCCTGGAAACTGAGATAGTAAAACAAGCCTACTAAGATATTGTTTTAGTTGACACATCAAACTAGTTTAAATTTAGGATTAAGACATAATCTGCATTAAATCGTTTTTTCTTGAAAACGAATTAAAGAAAAGGAACAAGAATATATGTTTAATGTAAAAATGGCTGCTCTTTTAGATTTTAAAACCGATTTATCACTAGACACACAGGGTGAAAAGTTATGATCTAATTTATCATAGCGACAGGTTATAATTAGCGCCCTCTACGAGCCACCCAAGAAATATTAACAATCATTTTTATCGAACCAAAAACCGTAAAGCCGCCAATTTTCAAGTCGATAGTTCAAAAAACATGATGAGAATATTAAAAAAAGCCAACAAAATTATAACTTTGAACATCCTGAATTTCCTAAACCATCAACATTTGGATGAGGCATGTTTGGGTCAATCATCATTCTTTATCCTGTAGTATCTATAGTTAACGGTTGTCCCATTGTTATTTAAATATCCAAAATAAAATCCATAATTGTAAATGATTTATTAATAGCAAATTTGATGGAATTTTCAATGCAGACTTTTAGTAGCTACTGAGTTATATATCAGCAAAAGTTGTGCGATATAAATTTCAAACTAACATTTTGTTGCTTAAACAATTTTTTGGTAAAATTACATTTTAAAATTTGCAACAATGATTTTTCAAGCAATTTCAATTGCCATATTTATTAAATCTAAATATTAAACTAAGAAGCAATTATAGTATTCTAATAATGCATCCAAATTAAATGATTAAAATTTCAAAGTTGCTTCAAGACCGCAAGAATCAAAATTCCAAGCGAAACAAAATTGATTTAAAATACATAAATCAAATTAAGCAGACAGCAATTATAAAATTATTTTCTGAAAAAGCTGATAATTATATCAAATTCATTACACAACTAAATTACTTAAATAATTGAAGCATTATTATTCTTATCTTGTTGATCATTGCACTTTGTTTCTGATAATAGTAGTCCAATTAATTTAATTAAAAAAATATACACTAATAACTTTTATGTGTATTTATTAAAAATGTTCATAGCTAGTTTACAACAATAAAGAATTTAATAATGTTTTAATTAAATAATGTGATAATATAAAAATAAAATAATTTTTCTTTTACTTAGGAAAGTATTCATAAAGATAATTTTATTAGCGTAAATTTATAATTAGATAGCAAATAATATGCAGACCAAATTTTTGAAAAATAATTAGTAATAGTGTCAGAAAAACAGTAAAAATAATTTAAAAAATATATATCCGTTATGGTTTAGCTACATGGGTTTTTATAAAGTAAGTCCTTCTGAATCTATGAATGCTCTAATAAATTTTAAAAGTAATCCAACTTTCACAGCCCTATATAATGGGTGTCCCAATAAGAGGTGTAATTTTTAATTTCGAGCTCTTTTCGTTCTGTCAAACTCATAGCAGTGTGTATATGATATTATTTACAAGCATTTCCATTTTGATAATGGAACGCTACACAGTAGAACAATGTCTGTGAGTTGGATGGCATTGACGTGGAAAACATGTGGTTTTAACAAGATGAAGCCGCATGTTAGATAGCGGTTTAAACAAACGTTTTAGTGCGGACCAAATTTCCTGCTCATGTTATCTCACGAAACGGTTACATCAAGTGGCCACCGAGATCATGCGACTTAACACCGCTAGACTTTTTTCTTTGTGGTTATTTAATGAGTAAACGAAACACAAATGATTCCGCACTTAAAAGAAAATATTCGACACGCTATTGGTGAAATTGGAATCAATTTATGTGAAAATGTAATCCAAAACTTTAATAAAAGATTGGTGTCCTGCCAAAGAAGCCAAGGAGGTCATTTGACACATATTGTTTTTCATGTTTAATGGCAATGTTTTAACTTTATTTTGGAATAAAAATATCATGCTTAATTAAGAGAAAAATGTGTTTTATTGACAAATTAAAATTACACCTCTTATTAGGAAACCCTTTAGTTTTTAATTTATGTTTTATCCATTGCCTTCCATTTGATTTTAATATCTACACTTATCTACCACTTAAAATGTTTCTCCACCCTTTTATAATAGTTTACACCTTATTTATTCTTTAAGCATGTTAACATATTGTTTTTTTTTAACAAGAATTTTTATTTATCTTTTCTGAACAAAACAAAGTAACCATGACAACGGAACTTTATATAAATGTTGTTGTTTTGTTGATCTCCGTTTGAGGTTTGGCTTTATCATTAAACTGTTTGCTGATAAAGGTTTCAAAAGAGGTTTCAATGAATTTTTCAATACATTTAGAAACTAGAATAAAGATATATAATACTTGACATTCTATACTATCTTCACAATTTAATGTAGGATAGTGTGGTCCATATTGATATGAGAAAAATAAAACAAATAAAAGTTACAAATATTTACCTCTACATTGCTGCCATTCTTTCACTATGCAAAGTGGATTACCAAACCAAAATTTGGATCCGTTGGAGAATATTAAGATGTCCTTATGAAATAAAAGTTGTGAACTTTTATTGTTCTTTTATAAATTCCGCTCTGAATGATTAGAACACAGTGGAATACAGGCTTAAAGTATGAGGCATGTGCTATTCTTGAAGAGAGTATAAAGACTAGTCGTGTGTGGATTCTATGTAGGCATCATGTACATGAAATTGTACTTTCGTCTATTTTCAGCAGAGCTTTGTCAGTAAGATAGGTCAAGATGTGTTTTAATTTTTTCAAGGTTGCCTCTGATTGACAAGGAAATATATTCTCAAGGAAAAAATTATCTGTATGACTCCAATGACCAAACAAAAAAGTTTAGGAATGAATCGGTTGGACCTTTCAGAGAATCTACATAAGTTGAAGCCGCCTCGAGCTCTTGCACTTGTGTAATGTATTTCTATGCGTACAAGACCATTATAAAAAGAAATTCCGAGCCTCAAAATATATTTATTTAAATATCAGTTTAAATATATATGTAGAGATGAAACGGGAACCACTGAAGTAAGCTATAGTCAGGTTTGGAATGACGCACCCAAGGCTAAGAAAGCTGTGAAGAATGATAATATTCTTTTAAAGCAAATCGAAGCATATCATAATTGTAATGATAAGAAGGTTACTTTAATAGCATTTCAACACCACCTGTGGTTTTTTCTGAACATTTAATTGGATAGCATTCTTTAAATCCCGTATCCCTGCCACCAAAATTAATATGGATAAAAAACCTACAGCACCCATCAAAGTCCCTTAAGATAGTAGAAATTGCATAGTTCAAGCATGAAAGCCCTCTAGAGACATACTTCATACATTTTCCTTACAAACAGAAAAGTCAATGCTGCTTTTTTCCTTTGCACTACCTTGAGTTGTGGCCTTCTGATCCTAACTTTATTAATCTCAAAATGGATTGGGACTCATTCAAATAATCTTGGAAAATTGTATTTCTCATTAGTGAATGTGATTAGTAAAGTAAAGTACGTAAAGTACGTTAAAGTACGTAAAGTACGTTTTTCTTGTGTTTTGTCCAAGTTGTACGTTTTTAACCAATGATACTTTAATAAAATATCTAATGATATCAAAAGAATTATGTTAACTTACTTGCTTTTAAATTAGCAAATTTTTTCAAGATACCTTCTGTAGTTTAAATGTTTCTTGAACGGTTAAATTATTTTACTTGAATTATTAAATATTCAATGTTTGTACTAAAAAACCATGAATTTATAAATAAATTATGATCAAATTCTGCACTTTTACTTGATTATTGTATTTATAAACAGAAAGAAACCAAAAATATTCATGACGATGTAAAATATTTGTTTACAATAGTATGACAGATGCTTTTTGACATCGTTGACCGTTGCCATGGTAACGTGTTTTAAAATTTTTTCTTTTTCTCATAATGCCAACTCCAAATATTTAATTGGACAAATTCTCAATTTTAAAATTTCACTATATTATTATTATTATTTTTCTTTTGAATGTGTTGTTCACAATAATACAATTAAAATATTTACAATTTATTAATGGTATCATTCTATTTTTACAAAGAAAGTGTAACAATATATTCAGTTTTAAAACGCAACACCATTTATACTTCAGTTTGGTAAATAATATATTTATTTTATTGACAAATCTCATATAGAGATCATCATAGTAAATTTCTTGATTAATTTCTCTTTCGTCCACGAGAAATACGTTGTTGATTATTTTGATAAATGTTTTATGAATTTTAAAATTACTTAATGTTGAATTATGTATTTCAACTTAGCTTTAACATTTAAATTTAATTTGCTAATGTTAAATAAAATTTTTAACAAAAACCCATAAAATAAATCAGTAATGGATATGTCAAATTATTAAATTATTTTTCAACTCTTCTTTTATTTTTTGGTTCACCATTATTAAATTTTGTTTAATGTGCTATAAGTATTGTTGATCCACAATTATTATCCCTAATGATGAAGTACCGGTTACTAATACAATTTTCTTTGTCAGACAGAAAAAACTTTTCTACCACCCTAAATTCACATATATATTTCACCGTTAATTTTCTCTTTTATATTACCTGAATTTTATGTCTGTTTCAGATAAGTTTAGTATTAGTATATCTTGCCACACTTGCCACTACTGCAGTCGTACATTATCCAAAAGTCACAGAAGATAACTACGAAACCAACAATGATAATATTAGAACAATAAGAAATCATGAAAAAATTAAGAAACCAGGTTTTAATCCTGCACCGTTTACATATCAATCAGCAAGTCAACAAGATTACCTAAAACAAAGGTACGCTGAACAACAACAAGTAAATGTTGAAGAAATAGCAAGGTTGAGGCGAAAAGCTAATTCTAAAAACATTCATAACATATACCAACAATCTACATTAGAACACGACCCTAGTTCTGAACCTTACGACTGGCAACCTTTTCTTTCTACAGCACATAGAAGACATGACAGAAGTTCGAAGGAATATATTCCTTTAGTTGTTAATACTCAAAAAGAAAAACGAGACAACACATTTCAACTTAATTCTGAAAGTAAACAAGAAGACAACAAAAAACCAATGTCTAGTCATATTATATACGTTGATCCAAGAATATTACGAAAAGTTTTTGAGCTCAAAAACCAGCGAAAACAAATACAGAGTAGATCAATTTCTATAGAACAGGCAACTTTAGTAGATTCTAATTCTCTTAACGAAATACTCAATAAAAATCCACATATTCAATTAGAAAGCCTTAGAAATATTCTGCAGGATCCAAATCAAAGAAACAGAATATTTCCAGTCATTGAAGGCCCTCAACCATTCCAACAAAAAGATCATACTCCCATTACAGAAAGAACAGTTGATGTACCCAATCCTAGATCCAAACCAAATATCCAAGTAAATCATGATCAACCTCAAGATCAGCAAGCTCATCCCCAACAACATACCCAAGAAGACAACGATCCAGTTTTAACTTCTATTATTCCTCAACAAGGTCAAACTATTACCAAAGAAGCATTTGATCAAATCCAGAAACAGTTAGAAGCGTCATCCAAATACCAAGTACACGATGCACTATTTCGAGCTCAGCAAGATGCACAAGCGCATGTTGAAGCACAACATAAAGCCATAGAGCAAGCTCAGAGAGCTATTTTAGAGAATGTCCAGAAACAGTTACAAGATGCAGGAGGATCTCCAGAGGCTCTAAGATATGTTCAAGAACAGATACCCCAATTCAAATCTTCTGAAAAGAATTCAGAAGATGCTCCACAAGCATTAAGATTGGTTCAAGAAAACGTACCGCAGTATGTAACTCATATAAATGTTCCTATGTCAGTACCTGTATACCCCACCCCATTACCCAAACAGGTGGTGTCACCAGTACATCAAGTTACAATACCTACTTCTAACGTACGAATACAATCTTACAAACCAACTTCATTACCCGATTATATACCAAAAAATGTTGCTCATGGAAAAGAACAAAATATAGTTCGTGAACAACCTCAGTTGCCCAAATTTAAAATTATAAAAATAAATCCAAGTACTACACAAATACCGAAACATTTCTTTATTCAACCTCAAAATAAACAAAATTTAATTTCACAAAAACCGACAGCGGCCCAACAGTCTCTTGCTAAAAAAATAGAACATTATGCCCCTAATCATCTGCATCAAGCCGTAGCTCAGTTACAAGCTGAAAAAGTATTGTTAGCTCAAGTTCAGTCGCATAATAATGCAATTATGAATGCAAAAAAAGGTGGAAATAGATATGTTGGACAGAAGTCACAAATTGATTATGCAAGTGCGGATAAGGTCCAAGATAAAGAAGCCCATGGTTCAGCGAATGCTTATCAGCATATAGTTTTGGAACCAAAACAAAAATCAAGAGAGAAGCAGATACATCATGAGGAGCCACAAGATGAAAATGACGATGTAAGTAAATCTGTTTTTTTATTTTCACATATTATTCAAAAACGTGATGTTATCTATAATCCTAGTAATATTTCTGATGAATACGAAGAATATTATGAATATTATGATGATGATACACCTGTTAATATTACCCATACAAGTTATTTAGCTATTAAAAACGATATGTCTCTTGCGAACAGTAGTAATAGAAGTAACAACGATTCTGAATATTATTATGAATATTATGATGACGAAATGGTCGAAGAAGGGAATAATAAAAATTTAAATCCGAAATATGAAGGAAATATAAAAAAATTGAGGAATCAAAGTATAAGTAGTAAAGTAAATAGTTTGATTTTAAAAGTTGATAATCCTGTCAACCTGAGTGAAAATTACTATACCGGTGAATATATTGAGAGAAAAAATGATGGTGGCCGTGAAATTGAAAAACCGAAACCCGCGATGCTTCTTCCTTATCATTCAAAATTTAATAATTATTATCAAAATAATCAAAATAACGTGTATGGGAATGATTATGACAATCCACAATTTCAATCAGACGATAGTGTACCATCACGAAATGAATATTATGATAATTATGCTGATAAAGATTATGAGATAATGTATCCTCCTGAGGAAAATGTACCTTCTGGTACTGATTATGACCCAAATTCTGATAGACGATATTTATCTCAATCTAATTATCATAATCCTGATAGGGAAGTATACTCTATTGATAAATTTGATAACAATCATTATAAGAGTCATGCAAATAATTTTTTAGATCGTAAATTTCATCTACCAATTCAAACTTCTTACGTTTCTCATTCACATACCAAGGTACCTTATCACCACCACCATCATCATAAACCGCAGGAAGTTAATTGTAAGCCTGTGATTGTTGTTAATAATCATAAACCGTCGACTTATAGAAAAAGAAAAAAACCACATAAGAGGTGGCGAAGGACGCACAAAAATGTTCATTCTCGTGCTCCTCGTCCATCTACTCAAGAAATTATAAAAAAAGTCAAAGCAGCCTTTAGTAAAATGAAAATGGATTTTTAAAAATTGTCTCTTTTTAACTTCTAACAGGTTGAATACTTGAAAATGTTTAAGTACAAATATTTTTTTTTATTATTAGTTGAAATTAAGGTCTAGTGTCTAGACATAGTTGCAAAAGTTTTTATGTTGCTTTTATTTTATACAAGGTGCGTCACGCTCAACGGGACGGAGCCTGGTGGGTAAACTACAAAAAACGAGAATACCAATATAAAGTTATATTTTTTAAATGGGACGCACCATATTTTCTTTTAATTTAATATAGGGTGCCCCATTTAAACTCGGACAAAATATTGAAAAAAGTGATTCCTCCCTGTTCACGTACAACAATCATACTATACCAGAGCATAATGAATGGAATCACACGCTTAAAACTGCAAAAGTTATCGGTATCACGTGCCAACTAGTCATAAATGCATGTTTATTGCTAAAATGAATTACGCCAGTGGCGTATAAAAACTATTAGCAAATTAAATGCGGTAATAGTAAATAATATTATATGAAAGTAGGTTGGTTATCAATTTTTGTAGTAATAATCATTTATGTTTATAATTTTGTTTTGTTTATTGTTAAATTGTTAAATTATTGTTAAAATATTATGCCAGTGGCGTAGAAACACTATTGGAAAATTAAATGGGGTATTATACTAGAACAAAATATTGAAGAAGGTGCGCCTTAAAACTGCAATAGGTATCGTTATCATATCAAAATGCACTTTCCAGTGTCGCATAAATACTATATTGGCAAATTAAATGGGTATTTGTGAATATTACTAGATGAAAGTAGGTTGGTTATCTATTTTTGTTATAATAATTCATCTATGTTTATAATGGTATTTTGTTTATTATAAAAATATGTAAATTAATCTTGAATTCTAAGTCTATGAAGTTTCGTAATTCATTGATTCTGGAGAATCGTCTTTATCGTCGAAACTTGAAGTTATGACTAAAGGTTCAACTACCGTTTCGATCATACCGTCCAAGCGCCACATATTATTTTCTTCCTTAATTACATGGGAAATAGCATTCTGCCAATCTTCAGGTTTACTACGTTCTATACCGGTTTTTAATAAACTCTGAACGTCGGCTATTTTAAAAGTTTTATTTTCTCGAGCTACAAACCCTTTCACTTGCGCCCAAATTAGTTCAATAGGATTGAATTCGCAGTGATAAGGGGGAAGTCTTAGTACCGTAATACCACGATCACGAGCCATTGTGTCGACAACATATTGAATATATTTATGGCGGTGTTCCTTTATTAGGTCCATTAATTCCACTTTAAGCATCTCCACAGTAAATGTTATTGCTTTATCCCGCAGCCAGGTTTGCATATCCGCTTTCCTACTGGACATTATCGGAATGCGTTCAACTCGTCGACTGTGATAAGAAGCGTTATCTAGTACAATAACTGAATTTCGTTCTACACGCTGTAATACTTCAGTAAACCTTTTTTCAAAGCATTCCACATTCATGTCCTCGTGGTAGTCTCCTGTTTTTTTTTTGATATAAACACAAAAGTGCTATTTTCAAAAAATCCACTGTCCCTTCCAAAATTGGTAACAATTAGGCGCTGTCCTTTACCTGATGGTGCTTTCAAACCTGTAGATAATCCCTCTATAAAAGCTTGGCGATAACTAGTTACAGAAGTATCTTGCCATATCTTAGATGTGTGTCCAGCATTCACCCACGTTTCATCGAGATAGTATATCTTTTTTTTAACGGCTCTAAACTCTTTATCTGACCTCTCAATTAAAATTGATTTCCTACACCGTTTGACAAAACGAAATTTTAGGCCCCATAAAATTGTTCATAAAGTTTCACGGCTCATTAATGGAATTTCTTCGTTTTCTCTTAATTTCGTAAGAACAACTTTAAGTGTTGGGGCTTTGTTTTCGAAAAAAAAAAAAAAAGAATGTACAGTTCTTCAAATGATTTGTTTTTGGTTATCGTCCAATTTCAACAATTTTCGACCACGGGTATGCGTTTTAGGGGCTTCTTAGGAGCCTTTTTTGTCTGTTCGCGTACAATACGTTCAATTGTTGAAACAGATACTCCAGTTAAAAAAGAAATGCGGTTTACAGCTTCATTTGTAGGAAGTGTCTGTTTCAGCCCATCTTACACTTTCCATATGTTCTTTTCATCCTTTGATAAGGGCTTTCGCCGACGTAATTGGGTTTCACTTGGACCCGCCTCTGAATCCATTACTATTGTAACAATATAATTCTACTTTTAATTTGTTTTTATTAAATTTATAAAGACACCAATATTTTACTATTTAATAAACTCTTAAAGTACCTACCTAATATACTACACAATAAATATAACTCCTCGAATATGCACTACCACTACCAAATTGTAAGGCACAGACATGAACACCTACTCGTATATCAGAAAAGAGCACTTATACAAAAAAGTATAAAATAATTATCGTAAATAGTTAAAGCAATACAAATCTGACTTCGTCGAAAGTTAGTTTCCAACTGTCTTTGTGCCTGTGCTGACAATATTCAATATGTAACCCGTCTGTCGTTTATTTACTTGAAACACATTTTAAAACCATTAAACACAGATAACGAAGTCATTAGAGAATAAATATATTCATTTCTTGAAAACTATCAAAAACGTATATTTAACGCATCATCTTTGTTTAAATAAAGATGTTGACAAACAAATTTAACAAAGTTTACTAACAAATACCTAATAAATAATTATTTGGTATTTGATACGCCGCCTATGCTGACTCTGTCGGAATTTTCATTCATAGACAACAGTGTTGATCATGTATATGACTCACCTTCTCCAATTATTTGTCCGAGTATAATTTTAGTTTATAGCAGCCGCTGAGTTGTATACTTGTGTTAAAGGAATTTTTAATATCGTTTGTAGTTTACCCACCAGGCTCCGTCCCGTTGAGCGTGGCGCACCCTGTTTACATAATAATGTTTATGTAACGCGTCATGCTGTTGTTTAGCTTCCTAGATCCCTTTTCTAACCTACTTACTTGCTTAGGTATATTTTCCAACTTCATTCAGCCCTTTGCTAATTTATCTGATTCCATGTTCATATATTTTTTAAATTATTGCATCCACCTTGTTTTTCTTTGTCTTCTGGTTCCAACTGGTTCCCATGTCATAGTAATATTTATCATTTCACCTTCTCTGCATTACCTTCGTCACAATATCTTTATCATGTATTAGGTAATTGTTAGTATTTCCGAGTTTTTTTGTTCAGCTCCAAAATTATTCTTATTGTTTCTCTTTGGGCTATTTGTTACCTCTCCTCTTCTTTTTCTGTCTTTAATGCCATAATTTGGAAAGCATACAGCAATACCGGTCGTATTAGTGCTTCATACAATCTAATTTTTGCTGTAAACATAATATTTATTGCTGTTTACGGTTTAGAACAGTTACAAACATTTCTTATGCTATCAACCAAAGTTATTTATTTTTTTATTCCGAAGTTTTTGGGATACTATTTTTATTATTTTATTATTTATTTTTTGACTCGAAAAGTAAAGTATTTTACTGAAAGTATTTTAATGTTGTTTAAACAAGTTTTGATAGGTATAAGGTGACAAAAAAAATATTCAATAGTTCTTATAAGACTATTACAGAATGTTTTAAAACGACGTGCCCAATATTTTGAACTATGAAAGTGGGTCTATCTAATAAATAAACATAGGTAACTTTTAAATAAGAGTCAGTCATAATAGATTCTAACCAATTTTTTTGTAGCCATTTTCTGTTTTTTTTTTTAATTATTCTATATTAATTATTCAGAACTTATTTTAAAAAAATAGGTATATTTAAAAAAGTTAAAATGTAAAATGTGTTTTATTTTATTTTTCTTAAAAATATTAAAAATGTAATAATAAACTGCTTGTTTAAGACACAGTTATAAAAATAATAATTTTTGGGAACAAATTTGGTAACCTACCCAAAAAATTCATTATTACCCAACAAAATAAATTTCAATTCGTTTAATTTTCACAATATCTTATTTTTATGTTGTTTATGTATTCAAATATTTCCCATCCTATTCTTGGGAAATATTTTTTGGGTAGGTTCTGTAGATTTAGAACAATTTTTTTAAGGAAATAATTAATTTTATATTTAGTAATTATGTTTATTATTCGTTATTTATTTTTAATTTATTTATAACTAATTAATCGATTATTTCCATTTTATTATATTACCAATTAACTGTGTTAATGAATATGTTTAATTAGCAAAGTGATTTGTTTAGAAAAAATGTGACACTTAGAATCCCATAAAAAAATTTCTCCTGTAACTCACAATTAAAATTAGAAATAGAAACTAATTTGTTTTTATTTTTGTATACAAGATTTGTTAAGATGTAAATAATGTATGTTCAATTTAATCTTTTTTTAAAATAAAACAATCAAACAATAATTTTTTATATTTTTGTTTGAAATTTAATTAATATATTTATTAGATATGGACAATTTTGACGTTGGAAACAACTACTGAAAAATGTTTTCAACTATATTGCATTTTATCCTAAAGTGATCCTAAAATTATCGTAAATTTATAAAGACAAGTTTTTCTAACATAGTTAAAGGTATAAGTACAATACCATGCATATTGGAAATGGCCATGAAAGCCATTTTCCATGAACATAAAGATTATTAGAATGACGTATAAAATGCATGTTTTTTTACTTATTTATTTGTTTATCCTAACAGGCCTTTTGGCCTAATTACAAGCATAATTACTATTAAATAATTACAATATACGTGCTTACTACAGTTTACATAATTTTGATAATACCAGAAATATCGTGGGGTTAAATAATTGTTACTTTCTCAAATGGACATGTTTGTAACTTGTTCAATATTTTTTTTATATGTTTTGTATTGCGCATACCAGTCTATATCATCTAAATTATTTATAATATTGGCTAAGCAAAGCATGATCAGGAGGGTAGCTCTGGATGTTATCGTTGCAGAAGAAACAACAAACATATTTGAGTTACGCATTGGACGTG